GTCAGGACCTGAAACATTTAACCAGGTCCTTTAGAGATTGTGTTTGTTTTCTCACATGTCGCTTCACATGTCGCTTCACATGTCGCTTCACATGCTACAATCTTGCGCCTTCCACGTTGAGTGTTTTGGGTTGCTCTAGGGGGACCGGTTTGGTGTTAGCAAGAAGCTACTAGTAACGAGGGCATCGCTACTAGTAACAACAGCTTGAGTCTGTGTATCCTGCTGTGTATCCTGCTGCTTTGGATTCGTTTGTGACTGGATCTTTCGGCCGGCCGGTACCAAGCGAGGGTGGCTCATCCAGGGCTCACCAACCATCTGTGTACAGCCGTGCGCCGAAGAATTTGGATGGACAGACCTGACTCAAAGACACAGCTTGGCTGAGATAAAGAATGATGAGGCGCGTTTATTCGCGCACATGTACGAGCAAACGGCCGTTTCCGAACGGCCTTGGAGAGCCTTGTTTGGAAAAATGCTGAGTGCTTGAGCTTGACCTATGTGTTGTGTTTTTGGTCACAGGTGCTGGGCACATGAGGCGCCTGATGTGTTGGCGCCCTTTCTTTGATGCCAAGATGGAAGTCTTGGCCAGAAAGGTCACCTCAGTTGCTCTTTGAGAAGCTTCACTAGTTGACAGGCCTAGCAGTGCATTGCAACTGGCTTCATATAAAATACCTTGGTGTTGCTTGTGTCAAATTTGGAAGCATCCTGTGGCTCTTTGTTTTTCAGGTTATGCCTATGAGGAACTTAGCGAGAGTTTGAAGCTGGTGTGGAACTTTATGCAGGATGTTATCTCCAACATCAGGTCGCAGCCAAGTATGCCGGCCTTGCCAAACTCACTAGGTGCCAAAAGAAGGAAGGAGCATCAAAATTGAGAGACAAAGGTGGATGAAGGGTTTTGGTCCAGTGTCTCTGGAACTTTGGATGCATTGCACACACCATTCTTGCCCTTGGCGCAATAGCAAAAAACATATAAAAGCTCAACTGCAGTCTTGAGAAGACTGGTGAGATGGTTTTAAGTGCACAAGGATCTGAGCTGAAATCCACAGAGACCTGCTGTCAAATCCACAGAGACCTGATTCATCAGAGGTTATCAGCGGTTTGCCAGACCTCTTTTTCCTGACAGTCATAAAAGGCATTTTGTTGGTGACCAGCTCAATCCACAAAGGAAATCCTGCTGGAAAGGAACAGGATTTGATGGAGCTCACTCTTGGATGTGAGGTTTGGAGAAAGCATTCCCTTTAGCAGGTCTGGGCATAATTCCCGTAAAACCCAATTGCATAATAAAGATCCTTAAAGCAACACATAATAGTCTATGTTGAAATAGATATGTTTCTATGTTGAAATCGTCTTTAGGCACAAAAAGAGTCTCTAGAATTAGATGTCAAGTTTAGATAGTAGTTAGAACCGAAGATATTGAATAGGAATTGGATGTTAGTTAGGAAATAGTCCAGTCGGGGCTTAAGGGTGGTACCCTACAGCATTTGACAGGGAGGCCAGGCCCTGTGGGCTGAGTGGCAATCATTTGCAAACTGTTTCAGGAGCTGAATACTTGGCCAATACTTGCTAAGTAATGTTCAACAGACCACAAAGTATTTGGTGCCAACAACCTTGGCAATACTGGCTTGCATTTGACTCACGACCACAAAGTACCTGAAACCAGTGACCTTTTGATTCCATGTATTGTGGAAACGATGGAGCCGGATGAACTGGTGACAAAACTGGACAAATTGGGATACATCGACGCTCGCATCGATTGAGGCCTCTTCCCTTCTCACGCGCGGCAGTGCTGCATAAGGCCAGGCCAGGACTAGGCAATGGCCAAAGCCCAAGGACCCACTATTCCTGAGGATTCACTGCTGAATTGAGGGTGGGATGTTGGGGCTTAACTGCAGGAAAGGGCGTTTGCATTTGCTATTCACAATAATTACAGTAGGGGTAGGTTCAGGGTTGATGAGCAGATTGCTCCAAATCTGTTGGATTTGGTTTGTTCGTATGTGCAGAGTTTGGGTTTATTGTTGTATAGTTTAGCTATATAGCTGTTCTTGAAGTGGGTTTGGGAGAAGGAATTTGGCCACTGACCATAGCAAATAGAATTCCTGCTCAAGTTTAGAGTTTTTGTCCACAGGTGTTTGAAGTCTCAAGTAAGTCAACACTTGCCATGTACATATAATATATATATATATTATATATATATTTTTGTCAAAAATGTGAAGGGCATTGTGAAGGGCCTTCCACCACGGGCGGAACCTCCACGTGCAAAGGTTGTCATTGGCGGCCTTCTACACAAAGAGCATTGCCGGCACAGCTTTACTGCACTGAGCGCCGGTAGCACGGGTGGATGGGACTTCTGGGGAGAAGGTGGACAACACAGTGTTCGCACAACAGATTTGGCGTTCGGCGTACCTGAGTGACCCAAGTTTTGGAAAGGAAATACACTTAACCACTTAGCTCAGCAAGGGTCATGTTGGTTCTAGATGGTTCTAGGTGTATGCCAATTCATATACATACAGTACATGCTATATTGTATACAATATAGCTCATCTGTGCACATCCCAGTTTGACTTGGGCAGCGGCCTGGAACTTGCCACTGTTAATGCCACTGCCAGGCCCTCCCAGCGGCCAACAGCAGGAGAGCTTTGCCAGGATCCAGACTTAGGTGCGTGCTGTCAGGTGAAAGAGGAGTGCAGTTGGCCTACAGAGACATATGTGTTGCTGTGTTGGGCTATGTACCCACCGCACGTTACCCCTGCCTGTACCTACCACCCCGTACCACACCATGGCCCCCTGCACTACACCATGGCGGATCACCTTAGAGGTGTTCGTACAACGACCCGATACTCGGGTGCTCCTTCGAGGTCGCAAGCGAACGGTCACACGAACCATCCTTCAGGTCCCTGTCTCCGGAGTCGTAGACGGTCTACCACACCATTTATTTTGCGCATGGCGATCAGTCAACTCATGAAACCCCAACCAGCAAGCCCTTTGTTGGTGTTTAAACTGGTTTAAACCCATGTCCGTTAGCGTTCGCTTCAGCTGCTCGGTCATGCTCGTCGGATTCGCGCGATGAGCGATTCCGCGATGTGTTCTTCGGCAGCTTTGGGCAGGGCGATCGATCCATCACTTCCTGAAGAAAGAGAAGCTCTTGGAGCATCCATCCATTTTGGAGGCGAGAATTTTTGCTGAGTTCTGATGCAAGTGCAGGTCACCTGACCATGGGGCATGTGAGGGGGCAGGAGTTTCTCGGAATTGGGTCGGAAAGGGCTTTTGAGGCAAACTGAGAAAGTCTGAGAAACTAAAGGGGCTAGGAACTGTTGGGTCTCCTGGAGGTATCGATATATATATATATACATGCGCGAATGGAAGCAGTGGTCAGTGGTCCCAAATGAATTTGAGCACAGAGGATGTAAAGGCTGGGGGTTTGGTGTTTTGGTGTCTTCGTTGGCTGGGACTGAGACAGTATCATTGACAAAACAATGAAGCTTCAAAAAAGTCTCCGACTCCATGTACGCGCGCACACATAGACTACAGTACCGCTGAATTGAAATGCTATGACATAAAAGGTGGTCCCTTAGGACTTAATTATAGCAATATGTTGGGCGGGTCTCCACAGCTTGAGTCTGAAGAAACGTGTCGACATGTAGCATTGCATGCGTTTTCCCATGGTTTGGTCACATGAGTGGACGCACTCTGGATCGAAACTCGCGTAAAGGAAGTGGACGGCTCGGATACGCAAGTGTCGACCGTGGCGTTTCGCGAAAGCAAAAGTCCCTTTTCATGAAGGCAACTCTCAGTTCACTCATCCGGCTGCTTTTTCCGCCATGACGTGTCTACAAAAGTCTGTGCCTGCAGAATTGTGTCTTCCACTGCACGCATGTATGTGATGATTATGTAATGAACAAGGACACAACATTCAAACCGCAGACAGCGCTCTAATGGATATTAGTAGCTGTTACTAATAATAGTAACCCAACTTATAGCAGTTACATCACATCTGGACGCAACCAAATCATTATTTCAATTTCAACTGCTCGTGTCAATTTCGGTCCCTTTTGAGTGGCCGCCCGTTTTTGAAGTGGGAAGATGTATGGTTGTTTGGGAGATGCCTTTTTAGTCATCCTTCGGACGGCGCTTGGCATCGGTGCCAGATCCTGGATGTCTTGCCCAACATCGATGCTTGGGTTCAACTGGGCTGGCATGGAAGCACCCCCAAAACTTGCTTCTCTTGGCACCAAGAGAGCTTGAGAGTCCTTGGACCCGAAGTGAGGGGAAGTTCTTGGGATGGGTGGTAGGACTCGGTCCTTTGCAGGCGCTTCTCAACCGGTGCTCCAAAACTGGTCTGAAGATTCGGTGTATATAATATTATATAGTTTCCCCGATTTTCCCCGTGTATGCCCCAGATGGCCGATAACCGCAAGTTGATTTCTTGTTTACGGATGCCCTCCTTGACCTCTTGACAGAGCCACTACGGAGAGCCCTGTTCTTGAGCGGCAGACAGCAGCCACGGATACCATAACACCCACTTCGTTAGCTTTGCTTTGCCAACTGCAGACCTTGATTCTTTCTTTTGTTCGATTCGCCTGAGTTCTTTGGGTACTGAACGTGTCTCGTTGGTAGCTGATCAGGCAAAGCAGTCCAAATACAGTAAGTCCCGTCCTACCAGACGTGCATTTTGCCCAGTGATACATCACACAATCTGCATTTTACATCACCTCCTAGAAACCATTAGTCCTAAGCACAGCACTTGCAGATCAGAAGCCCTCTCTTCCCGATATGAGTTGCAGCCATGGCAGTCGCTCAGGATCAAGAAGGAAGCTTCATCAACAGCTGCTGGGCAGCAGGATCAACCCTGTCCCACCTGGCACTTTGGAACTGACCCAAAACCCCGCTGTCCACCAAATCAAGAAAAAATTAGAAGAATAATTGTGAAACAAGAGGATTACCAGCATATAATAGCATATATATATAGTTCATAATATATGTTATATAATATGTTATATATAACGGTAGAAACTCACACCGTCAGCTCATGGTTTAGGCCACTGAGACCACTGCCAGAGCGCCGGAACATGGAGAACTCTTCGATCCAAGAAGCCTCTCATAAGACATGGAGGCCATTGCTTCTAGGTTGGAGGCCATTGCTATTAGGGTTTAGAATCCAAACATGAAACGTGGGGATTCCAAGTCCTTTGTCTTTGGGTCGGAAGTCGGCGGTCTCTCACGAATCGTCCGTTCGGAACTTCGAGGTTTGAAACTCGGCCTAGGATTGCTGAAGAGGTGTTCACTACTCGATTTAGGTGTTGAATGGTGATGGTGTTTTGAGTACATGTTCCTTTCACATTTGCATGCATTTGCTATGACTTGAGGCGGGAGAGACTCGCCGTGAATGCTGGGCAAGTTTGGATATACACAAAGAAGAAGTGCTCACATACAACACGGAGATCCAAATCCGACACACGTCATGTTGGGTGAATTTCGGAAGTAGGATTCACCCAGAACAGCCGGTCGATGGCGGAGGTGGAAATCGCTCCAATGAGACAGGAGACGGCTCGAGTTGAAAAGAAGGTCAGGCCACAGGATTTGTCCTGGAAATATATACTCGTCCAAAAGGCGCACATCGCGTGGGACCAAAGCGCTGTCAGTCAATCCCTCCAGCTTTGGGGCCGAGGTGATCCGTGGAGTGAAGTGAATGATGCATCTTTGGTTTAAAGCCTCACTTGAGTGTCCCAAGCCAGCGTTCCTACTTCCTCTTGATATGCATTTGTATGTGTATGCGTTTGTCATTTCTGTGATGCTCTAATTTGAATGCACTTCAGATCGCAAGACCATGGCAAATGGCAACAAGACCTTGGTGGCCTAGCTCATTGATGCGGCAAGTCCAGCAGTGGCCCGACCTCAAACTCTCCCGTGTCTTTCGAGAATTCGGTGTTGATGCTGTGTAAATGTGGTACATTTGATCCAAAGCCAACCTGGGTGTGGCTTTGGCATGCAAGGGATGCAAAAAGCGTTCACTGCAGAAGGAAGCGCAGTATTCCTCGGGGCTGTTGACTCGCTTCAGCAGTGAGCCAGGCCAAGCCGCCTATGGACGCTGATGGCGGAAAGTAACCATGGATTCTGAAGCGCTTGGCATTTTGAGGGAAGTGAAACAATTGCTGGGCCAAACTGGGAATAATGATTTCCTTGGTGGATGCATCATGCATCATCATGCTAATTGCTTTCACTCGATTACTAAGCTTTCTTACTGTATGTATGTACTTGTTGTGGGGTGTTTCGCCAGCTGTGAAGAATCTTGAACTCCTTGGGCCCCAAGGAGTCGAGGAAAGATCCAGTCTGCCAAGGCTCAGACCTGGACGTGGTGACGCTGCGGTCACACCGGAGCTCTCTCGGGGGGCACCGGGCCCTTCTTGGACAGGCGACGGGTACCGTGACCGGGAATTGGATCGTGAAAAAGATTGTGTTGGGATAGCACTGTGGCTATCTGAGGGGCTTGTTCTTCACAAGCTGAGGGTGAACACATCCTGTCAGTCATACACAGATGGCAAATGATGGCCAACTCCCTGTGTCGACACGTTGTCGTGACTCCGTGAACACGTTGGGTCCAAGGGCGGCGAACGCTACCCCCCCACCCCTTGGACCGCAAAACAGTTGACCAATCAGTCTAAGGGTCTAAACTGTCTAAGCTGTTGACTAACCTGGACTGACAGTAGGCCCAGAAAAAATGTGCAAGGCTCAACCACTTTCACTAAGCTTCATTATCCACTGTCAGCAAGCAACTGCTTTAGAAGCTGGACACACGTGTGCCCATCATTGCTCATCAGTTATGATGACATAAATTATATACATATCCATTCTATTCGTCCTATTCCTCAGCAAACACTCTCGCTATTTGTTGGAAGCCAAGTGTTTCCTAGCTAAAAATGCTAAACACAATTAAAAACATGAGGTTAGGAAAAAACACCTGGACGGACAATCCACAGGACAAGAACCACCACTGCACCCCCAAAGAAAAGAAATCAGAGGTGTTCATATGTTTTCATGCATTTGTCTTCTTCCCTGTCTCAAATCATTTCCTCCATCCCTTCTCTCATGTTCTTCTCCTCCGAGCCGTTCGTCCGTTTTTAGGGCCCGCTTGAGCGCCTCGGAGCTCCGGAAGCTCCTCCCCGAGGAGCGCCCGCTGTCTCAGCATCGACCCACCAAACCTTTTTCGCTGTTTGTTTCTGGTTCAGACTCGTTCGTGCCGAGTCTGGTCGATATCAGCGGACGATTGGCTCTAAGGCAACGGACTGTACTATGATGGATGAGCGAACGAACATGCGAAGAATTCAAGCAACTGCTTTGGGACTGGTGTTGAGTCCGGTCCCCTCTCTATTCCGGACTGTACCTGAACAGACAACTCGTGTGATTCAGGGTTTCAGCTTTCCGACTTACATCTCGTTTCGATGCAGCCAAGTTGATTTAATCGCAACCTCACAGAAAGCATCGCACCGGTCGGTAAAGATAAAGCCGACACCGCCGCCTCAATATTGTTCTCACAGTGTTACCTCAATATTTATTTTGGTTTACAGATAAATATGTATATTGTTTTACATAATTAATAGATTTTGCGGTTGCCAAAGAACGATATCGACAGCTTCTCATCCTCATGTTTGTGTTGTGCAGTTTTATGGGCATCATGGGCTACCGCACTGTCACCAAAGTATGTGATTAGAATGTGCCGTTCATCAGCTTTGGCACAACCAGCTGGCTGTTTGACAAAGGAGGATCAGTCCTGTCTACTCATCGATGCCAGGTTCTGTCGCCAAGCACAGCCCATCAATAGTAACAATTGGGTATGATTAATCAGGATGAGTAGAGCTATTGTGAAATCATGACTAATTAATTATATGACTGTTGTTCTTTTTATCGTTGTAGTTCAGCCCAGGGTCATCCAGATTCATCCACTTTGCACTGGAACCCTCACACCGGATCCTCATAACATCTCATAACTGAACAAGCTAGGCCATCATGTGCCTTCGATCTGGGATATTCCAGAACAACCTGCTTCATCCAAACATGGGTCATGCTGGATTCACGGGCTCGTTCAGAATGGCATGGCCTGGGCTTAGACCGTCACACTATGTCATGTCATTCGCCTGCTGCGTCGTTTGTGCGACTTCACCCGGAGGGCGTCCGACTTGGTCCCCCGAGTCGGGAGCCGTGCTCCTCCGTGCGTTGGTCGTCGTCGCGGGTGAGGACTTAGCGGAAGTCTTTGAGCCAAGTCCAAGCCCACACACCACGAAGGCGTCAGCGAGGGGACTGGTGGGTCAGCGAGGGGACGGTCAACAGTCGTGGTATTTGTGAGAAACGAAGGCAGGCTCGCTGGGGTGGCCCTTTTTTGGACTCCAAAAAGCCATCACAAGCTGTCACAGGCCTTTAAAGAGAAGGGGAGAAGGAAGAAGGAAGGCTCCTGTGCAGACTGCCAAGACACGTCCACAAGAGTGGTTGGGACGTCCAAGCCAGCAGAACACCACAAGCCAGCAGTTGGTACGAGGGTTGCCTATGTTCCTTCCATCAGCATCCGACGACAAAAGGAGGAAGGCACCGGGTAGAGCACAGCCATACCACCCAATGAGCTAGAGTCGCTAGAGGTTGGGATACCAGAAGCATCCAGAAGGATCAGAAGCCAAGTGCTTTTTGTTGGAGGGAACGGGTCTTTTGTTTGAGACGTCTATTCGACGTCTATGACTCAGTGACTAGAGTCATTGTACAAAACCGATGCTTTTTCCATGCACTTGACATAGACATGAGACGTTTGTGAGTCTTTTGATGTCTTCCAAACCCATCCAACACCCGTGGGTCGCCGCTGGTGAGGTGGAGCCTCGAGAGGCACCCAAGGTGGAGCCGGGGAGTATGACACATATACAGATAGACTCTAGACAATCTATACCTGTTCTATTCATGCTTTCTGGCAGTAGTGTCTATAGAGTCTATAGTATAGATTCTGTTTGTTTGATTGATTGATTGTGTTGATTGATTGAATGATTGATTGATTGCTTGGTTGGTTGATTGATTGATTGATTGAGTATATAATTGATTGTGTTGTGCTGTTTATATGTTGTATATATTGTACTGTATAGATGCGAAGCATCCGAGAAAGATGCTGCTCTTTTCTGCGTTCCGGAGACAGACAATTGACTGGCTGAGGACATGTCGAGTCAGCTCTCTTTCCGGCTTGAACACCGTGGGTTCTTTCCGAACCAGAATGTAAGAGCACGAATCAATGAGCCTCGATTGAACTGGTCCTTGGGTCAGAAGTTTGCAGGCACCGACCAAACATCAAGACCTCTTGATTCTGCAACTCTGCAACACATGCTCAAAAGATGCGGTCAACGGTAACCTATTGAACCCATGATCCTTGGGATGTTTTAACCAGCCCTGAGGGTGGGTTTAACCAACTTGTGAGATCAGCAGATGTGTTTCTGCTCTTCACTAGGGGTCGCTGGGTTCTTGACTATGGGCTGTTAGGGAACATTTGGCGGAAGGGCAAGCCTTTTTGTTTTAACCCATACGGAATGATTGAAACCTTGATGACATCCCACTGGATGGATCAATGCTTCTTAAATAATCTTGGATGTATTCAAGTGTCAAAAGCTCCATCAAACCGCGCACAACCTTCAATATAGATAGTGGTGAGAGATATGAGATCTGTTTAAATGCTTGATTCTGCTGACTAGGTTGGTCGAGTTGAAGTACCCTGGTGGTATGGTGGTACTTAAATCCTTTTTGTTGAGTTGAATCCACCAACCACTCAAGTTCGGACTTCAAGGACTCAGCCGGACAGGCAGAGCTCGCGAGCCGGCGCTCCGAGCGGGACGAACGGCGCCAGCGGTGTTCCAGGTGCGCAGGGCACTGGGGGGGTTGAAGTTGACACAGAAGTGACCTTTGGGGGTTTACACAGCTTTTTTTGGGGGGGTTAGTTTGGGGACACTTCTATATAGAAGTTTTGGATGTGTTTTTTGCATACCTTCAAGATTTGACTCTGCGGGGGGTTCGGGATGTTTGGGATACAGAGTGCACCGGAAGTGCTGGAACTTCTTGAGGGCCGGCGGCCACCTGCTTGTGAATCGTTCGATCAGATTCGATCACAGGCCTCCAAGAGGCTTCACTTGTATAGGGGAGGACGAGGCCGCAGAAGACTTGGGTCATTGTATGCTCGTGACGTCTTAGTGAACAGTATAAAGGCCGTGCTGAGTTCCGTGCTGGTTTGTTCTTCTGTGGTTTTTAGAGCCTTCAAGTGAGACTCAAAATTGATTGAAGGGAGCTGCTGGGAACCTCCCCAAGGCAGCCCAGGGAATTTCAGGAGCCAAGGACCTCTCCAAGGCAGCCCAGGGAATGATGAGAGTGCTTCTTCCCACAGCCAAGGGCCAAAAACACCACAGAAACAGGTGTTAAACCAGAATGCTGAAGAACTCAAGAGGCTTTCAATGACATATCAAATGGATCCACTTCTAAGGCCTGTGGAAATAGGCAAGTCTTCCGGTCACCCACCTACCAAACCCTGCTCGCCCAAGAGGGCGGTCTGCAGAATGGAAGCGGGACAACCCCCCTGGTAGCAGAGTGATCAAAAGTAATATTGCGTTTGTATATATATATATACAGATCATCAATGTTTAGTTTAGTTGGCCTGGTATAATTTTGCGACCGGTCTTAAAAAAGTGTTTGTTAAAGCATGTTAGAGCTGAAAATGGTGAATGTTGATCAACATGACATGCCCCATTGTAATGAGGTGACCAAGAATAGAAGAATTGAAATTTGTCTCTGAAGTGTTCTTTCTTTCCTGAAGCAAGGTTTGCCCATCCTGCCCCCTGTATAAGAATCAAATAGAATATAATAGAATCAATAGTTGAGTGCGGAAATCCTGTTTGACCTATTTCTTTGAACATAATTTTGCCCAACTCCATCGCCATTCCTGACATGTTGATTCACAGGCCGCCTCAGCCAGAGCCCATCGCGTCGGAAACCAGTTTATGGCCCCAGTCTGGACAGTGGAAGATTGGGAGACGAGTTTTGCATCCTAAAAGCAATGGCCTCCAACCTATTAGAGATGGCCTCCAACCTAGGCTGGAGGCCACGCTATTAGGTTGGAGGCCATCGCTTCTAAAAGGTGCAATTTCACAACAGAGCACAGATGTTTGACCCATCGTTTTCTGCTGATGCGGCACGCCAAGTCGCACCACTCAACGATGGAAGGTGATCACCAAACAAAGGCAAGAGGCTTTAAACCCGTTGCATGGCATTCGCTGTATGTGTACGTATGTAGAACTTAACATACATGTTCCAGTCATTTGTTTGTAGATGGAACATTGATGATGAACACAGGCATTGGTAGCCTTATTTTGATATTGCATACCAGGGTGCTATCAAGTCATACTGAGGTCCTTTCTCGTCCACTCACCACCGCACCGAGGTCAAAGCCTCTCCAGCACCACCTCCACGGCCAGCTCGCCGCGGCCCCCACCCTCGGGGCCCTCGCGCTTTCGGCCGGTGCCACCCAGGCGGAGCGTAGGGAGGACGGTGGAAAGAGGACTCCAAACAGCTCCAAACGGCACAGGTTTTGATCTAGGTGTTGTCCAAGCAATGGCAGTATGAGACGACCAATACTGTAGTTGACAATATTGTGGCGCAAGCAGGCGCAAGCGAAATCGACTGGTCACTCTTCTTGTCCGCTCCATCGCCAGATTTGTGGGGTTCCAGGTGGATTGGTTGCAATTGGGCTTATCAAACCGGATGCTGATCCTGGAGAATTTGGAGAATGCAACCAAAAGCTTTTTGTCGTGCTTCCAGCACCCAGATTTTCCGGGAACACAGTCCTCCAAGCGACAGCTGATGTTTTCCTACACCTGAACGCCTCTTCCAGATCCACAGATCCTGCCAGGCCAGCTCCGTGCCCTGACTTGGCATGGCCGGAGGCCAGATACGGCGAGACGGCGGACTGGCCCCAAAAAAGAAGAACTCATGTACTCACTGCGGTGGCTAGGGACTTCTTTTTGAATATATGATGTGTTCATGTGTGTTCGTGTTCATGTTCGGAGTGTTTTTAAAATAGTTTTGAGACATGAGGCATCCCAGAAGTCGAGCTCCTCTTCGACTCTTCAGAGGGCAACGGCAGGTACATAGCCACCCCAGGACAGGCATAGGAGCATGAGTGGCGTGGAGACCACTCTTCTTGGCAAAAGAGTTATTTATTTTCCACGTGAGGTTTGGACAGGGTGGTTCGAGGATGGAATCCGACAAAGAGAACTGGGTCAAAGGAGTTGTTTGATATGTTTCAAGTTCGGAGAGATAATGTTTTGAAACCAGCCCAGAATCCTCAATCTCAGCTTTTGTTCATTGATTTTCACTTGAAGGGCCCAGGACACAGAACGTTTGGGAAGCAAGATCTGGGTGACGATCTTCTTTTTGAGTCCTCAGACCCCAAGGTCCCCAAGGTGTCTTGGAGCCTCCTATCTCCAAATGAGCGGAAAAAATACCCCGCAAGATGAGCATATGTAGTGGGCGATCCCAGGGGTCAGAATTAGCTGCACCGCCGCAACTATTTTTGTTGGTTAACTGAGTTTGAAAGAAATGTATTTAGCTTGGAAAGGACACGACATACTTAGTCTATGTCTATATATATTAATATAAACACGTCCATATGTTTTGTGTTACATATGTGTATCCATGATGGTACTTTTGTTTTTTTCATGTTTATGGTTGGTGATTTGAACGACGGGTCCTCAGTCCTAAACGACATCTGAACGACATCAGTACTTCTTCAAACTGACCTGTTGACCACATGGTGCTGTTCATCATGTAAAAGCAGCATAGTTAGTACAGATTCTAGCACAGAATCAAGTGCATATAGCTGACAAAGAGACCGCCGCTTGGAATTGCGATGATCTGTCCTTGGGATCAGAGTTTAGGACAAAGTTTTTCTTGTGACTCAAATGCTTGGGAGAAGCATGTTTGTGAGATGGGATGGTTGAAGCTACGATGTGTTAAAACATATTTCAGCACTTCAGGTTTTTGCTCATTACCCGTGTAGAACGCCTCAGAAGAACCTGCTCACCCCTCCGCACGTTGTGCCAGTCGATGCGCGGCCGCCGGGTGTTGCCACGCCCGGACTCGACGGGCCCGGCGGACTCAGGTTCGTTGGAATCGGCCGTGTGTGACCACGAGATGGGCATGGCAAAACCACACCCGAAATCGCGAGAAGCGGCAGACTTCAGGGGAGCATGGTTTTAGAATGTTTTAGAAGACTGGTGTGTGTGTGTTCTTGGACTCAAACATCCCGAACAAGAACATCCTGTATTATTGCAAGAGTTTGTGCTTGCCATGGGCTGGGTATTATAGATGATTTGAACATAATAAATGGTTTTGTTGGTTAAGATGAGGAGCCCTCAAAAGCCCAGTAACCAATTGGCTTTGGAGGGTCCGAACTTGGTTCATATTGAATGGATCACAAATAACATTCAATGACACTCGTACTTAATTTGCCAGTTGCACGTTGTGGAGTTCTGGTTTTGGTGGATAAGAACATGCGAAGAACCAAAGAGAGCGGTGTGGTTCGATCCTGTGATTTTTGGCCGGGAGGCCTTCTTGTGGCGCAACAACTACTCCTACTCCTCTCCGAACCCTGTAGTACTGTGTGGAATTTGGAAGACCCTTCCTACCAAGTCACGCCGGATGTCTTCCCTTCACGGGTTTCTGCCTGGCTCGCCAAGGCGAGGACTCCAGGCAGCAAGGGGTTCAGATGGCAGGTGGAAAGTGTACAGCGCGCAGACTCTACCGTATAGTCTAACAATGTCTAACATATCTCTAATATGCAGGTGTCGAAAAGCATAGGAAGTGAGCTTGCAAGTAGAATCAAGTAGACTATATAGTTCACTTCCTATGTTTTGGGATGCCTGCATGGGTGAAGGTTTTGAGGGCAAGGCGAACAGCAAGTTCACTTACTTGAAGGTGGAAAGAACTTTGGGCGCCCAATGAATTCAATGGGCGTGACGACTCTGCGAGAGGAATTTTGTTGAGTTTGGGGGAAGTTTTTGTTGAATTTGTGCAAGGGCCACACTTGCCCTAATAGACCCAGAAAGAGAACAGGTGCAATGTCCACAAGGAAAATGTATCTTAATATTAATATAGTTATTTTAGCAACAAATGGGCGTCCAAATGTCGTGCCAATCGCAGGTTTGGGAGTTTGCGAAGGGTGGAAGGGGAAGGGTCAACACGTGAATCCGAAAGGCTTCATCCAAATTGAGGAGTGATTCCGATTCTGCTTTGGGGAAGCATTAGCTAAATGGTTTGTACATCTTTCTTGCACCCACACTATCTTAGAAAGCCTGGACATTCGGAAAGATAGAGATCTCATGGGATCTTGATTGGGCAGCAAGTGATTGGTCCACCAACGAACTGAGACTAGGCTGAGTGCTCAAGAGAATGGACATACCGGCTCATGTAAATGGTGCTATGAGATACAGCCCACGTTTGGTTCATGTTTCACCCAGGATTTCAGTGGATGACGGATTCTTTGACTGGGCTCAACCTGTAAGAATGGTGGATGCGCCTAGGAGAAGCAATACCACCTATTCCTTGCCACCCACTCATACCACCCGCTGACATCACTCCCCGGCACGGGATCTCAAAAGGTGCCAATTCATCACTAGGAGCAAGGACGCTACTAGGGGCTCCTGGCATCGCTACTAGGAATAAGAAGCTACTAGGGGCTCCTGGCCTTACTACTAGGAGCAAGGACGCTACTAGGGGCTCCTGGCATTCAATTCATCACCTCTGTGGGATATTCCTTAGGTTGGGTAGCACGGTGCTTTCTATAAAAATCGAGCGCATGACTCAGTCAAGAGGACAGTTCATCTCATTCTTTACATGGTTCTTACGGTTCAGAACCACAAAAAGCAAAGCACCTACAGTAGCAGACGATCATCTTCCCATCCCGGAGGATCTCCCCGGAGCAGATGGCGAAAAAGACTCGGAGGATCCCAAACACAAGGCCCCCAAACCCAGTTCTATTCTGGAAGGAAACACAAGGCCTAAGAATTTTGCCACATGGGTGTATCCTTCCAGAATGTGTATCCTTCTATACACCAAACATCACCAAACATACCATCAAAGTCTCCTACTTGTCTCAGCTGGATGTCTTTTTTGGATCGCAGGATTCCCGGCGCGGTGGATCGACTGGACCGGCACGGCCCGGGGGCTGAAACCGACGAGCCTGGCAGCCAACGGCCGCCCCGCAAAAAAGAGGTACAGAAATGTACCGGATTAATATGGAGTTTTGTTTTTTCAGGCTCCGGACAGGTGGAACGTTCGGATTCGAAAAGCAAGTCACGGGCATCAAAGCAAGCGCGTCGTGCTGAATGGGGGAGTGGCGGGTAAAAACTTGGAGGCGTTGTGATTGGACACCCCTAGCCAGATGCATTTTGCAATATGTACGAATATGTATGACAGGTTCAAGAAGCTGCGGTTAGCAGCGCCAGCCAGATGCATAATAGATCATAATAGTACCACAGTCCGAGCTCACCACTTGCTTGGCAATGAGCAAACATGTTTTGAAGCAGCATATTCCAGGATCTCTGTGGAGTCGGTTCCGGGAGCGACAGAAATCGCTGCGAGTCAACGCCTGGCCGCGCCAAAGCGGCCGCGCCAAAGCGCCCCCGTCCACCTGAGGGAGGGGGACTGGATCCAACAGCCCCTTTCGCAGCTGCGAAAGGATCCACAGATTGGCGTGCAACTTCGAACGGATCCACAGACGCCGCTCCGCTCCTGTTGGCCCAGCCCAGCTGCTTGAAAGAGGTATACGATGGTATACGCCGACCTGTGTCGGTTGTGTGGTCTCTCCACAAAGGCCGATGGTGTGCTGAAAAGAGGACCCGAGACAAGTGGAGTGGAGGAGCTAGTTACCAAGGAGGAGAATGTTGATCGTTTTTGTCCCAACGAGCAAGCTACTAGTAACAAGGGCATTGCTACTAGTAGCAAGGACGCTAGTAGTAGCTTCTGGCATTACTACTAGGAACAAGAAGCTACTAGTAACAAGGGCATGTCCCAATTGCAATGTTCCCAGCAGCTTCGCTGCAGATGCAGGAGCACACTTGAGGTCACCGTGATCACCTGACAGGAATGGTCAAGACCAGACGAATCTTTGTAGTGACCCGCATAGTCAGGGTCGTCCAGAACAGCAAAATCCTGCTGGGTCCTAGTACTAAACGATATTCCTATAGGTGTAAACAACCCACCCAGACACCGCCAAATGCGGCGGACTGATTGAATCATGCTGCGACCAGAAGTCGTAGACAATCTCACGACTCATCTCAGAGAAAATCAAGTCCAGTCTCCCGATTCCATAGGAAAGACCCCCTGAAATGTCCCATCAAGATCCCAGCGAGGCGCTTTCTTCGCAACGCTTCGCTGTCCTCGCCCCAGGTGTGAACTCGGCCTCCTCAGGCTCATCGTTGCCAGGCACGAAGCGACGATCCCTGTGCTCGGTGTGCTCGCTGTGCTCGGTTTAGTGGAACTGTTCAGCACTTGTTTATCTTGGTTCCCTTCCTTGACAGATAGATCTTGAGCATACGTATGCTCAACATGACCCTTGTATGCATTGTATGCCCTTGTAACCTGAAGGTGCTTGTGGTTTTGGGGCTGTTTCCTGGAACAGGGGTGCCCGGAAGGTTTGAGGGCCATGGCGCAGATTTCTTCACCTCTTGTGTTCTACCTTTGTTGGGAGGATAGATATAGGGTGCGAGTCACACTTTGATCCTGATGGTCTCTTTAGGACCGGAAGTTCATTCAAAACGCTGAGCCAATCAAAAATACTTGTTGCGTCATGTTATTCTAAGCCAAGCTGAAGGGGTCAGCATGGTCAGCATGTGTTTCAGAAGGGAAGCGGATTGAAAAGGCACCATTGAAGAACCAAGACAAAATCGTTACATAACCAAGTGTTGAAGTGATTCACTGCGTTTGTTCCCACAAAGCCAAGCTGAATGTTTTGGGCAAGTCAGACAGTAAGGGAAATGCTCGAAATAAATGAGTTTACATATAGGATTATATAGGAATCCACTTCGGAAGGCTTCAAGTCGCTCCAAAATCAGCGCTGCGAAGTATGGCTCAAGGGCGAGAGGAAATTCAACAGATCTTTATCGAAGTCAACTGGAGCTTCTAAATTGGTCTAAAAACTCTAGACTGCTTTGTTGTTGTAAAGTTGAGCCCTGGATATGGGAGTTGAGACCTGGTGGCGGACTCGAACCTGGAGATTCTAGTCCATCCTCCAGTTTGTTGCTACCGATTAGCCTTTGAGACAAATGGAGCTCTCTCTAACAACGAGTCTCAAAGATATTTCTGGCGAGAATTTGGTTCAACAAGATATCCCAAGTAACGGTAATCACAAGCTTGGTGGATCCAGCAACCACTTTGTCGCCCAACAAGTTTCAGAGCGCAAGTCGCTCACTTCCTATAGATCGGCAGCGCTTCCAAAGAAAAACCTCAGAAACTGCCTGTGCTTCCTCACCTGACAACGGCTGCGACCACGCCCCGACGCCGCCATGGTGCTCATGTTCTCCCGCCTTGGTCGCTGCGCCGCTGGCCTGTGCTCGCCCGACGCGGCGTGGCAAGCCCGGCAAGCGCGCCGCGCCCGAGCGGGCAGCGGTGAACATGGCACGGCGAGTAGCCGCGGGGCAGAGGAGCGGCGGAGCGAGAGATATGAGGAGGCCTGGAGATGATGCTGGGGGCATCCATGGTGGTGCTGGATGAAAAAGATAATGGACAAAAAATGCAAGGTTATCCACTCATGAGTATCCCATCAGATGGTGGAAGCATTTGCAAACTTTGGAAGTACGTCGGAACTCTAAGCCCATCTCCATCCAGACGTCTCCATCAAGACGTGGAAGCGCACCAAATGTGTTTTCTTCATCTCGGCCAGAGATCGGGTAGAGACTGGCCAGGTTCTGCCAGGTTCTTCAAGAATCTTGATAGACCACATTGGAAAGGAAATCCATTTTGTTAGGGTTTTTTCTGTAAGTATAGTTTGAGTAAAGCGATCACGAAACCTACGTTGCCCTGCACGACCTTGTGGTAGTAAAAACAGAGTGACCGTCTTTTTGTCCAAAAGCTGGAAACGAAAGGCCACTGTCAGGTTAACCGAAAAAGCATCAAAGTGTGCTCGTTGCCAAGTTGTTCTCTGTATGAAACCAAACCGCGGAGCACATGCCGAGGCCGATCTTCCAGCCGCCAGCGGCAGGGCGAGTCTCTCCTTTTGGCTGGCACCGGTGCGCCGGGGGCAAGGATGTGTGGAAAAAGGCAATCATCCAGGAAACAATTTTGATCATTTTGATCCAGCCAAGCATCTTTCCGCAAAATTGACCTTTTCCTGAAGCGGATAATATGATTAATATGTAGATATCCTTGGAGTTGAGGCCGACCAGTTTGGATCAGTTTGGGGTTCATGGTCTAGGGCGTGACAACGGCTCCTGCACAGATCTTCCCCTACCTGATCCTGGAGCTTTGTCAGCGCCGGACATCCTAGCCGATTTCAACGTGAAGACATGTGAAGACGATGTGTCATGCGGGATCCAGCGGGCCAATCAGTATAGTGGGACATTTTGCCAGAAAGACGGGAGAATTTGTGATTTGCCGAGACCTCCCTGTTGGGAAGTGGATTTATGTGGGCGGCCAATTTGGGGAACCGGGTGCGGCAGGTTCTAGGTGGAAGTTCTCGGGAGGGACTGCTTCGTGTTGCGTTCTTTATTTGTTTGCTCGATCGTTTCTGCTATGGCTGAAAGCCAGGGTCTTCATGACAGACCAGTCTTTAGAGGTTTGGACGATGCTGAAGCTGCTTTGTTTTTTTTGGTGGGTGCTGTGTTTGACTAAATAATCGGAAAGCGATTCAAGGTCATCGAGAGGAGAGCTTTGGAAGATAGATTTTACTCCAAAATCTGAGTCTTCGGCAGGTGCACATGTTGGTTCGCGATGCTGGTATGGTGGGGTTGAGATTTTAGACAATACTCTGTGACACACGTATTTTGAAGCCAAAAATATCAGTTGTGTGGCAAACAAGTTGATGGGGAGGCCAGAAATATGTTTATTGCATTGTCTAAAGTAAGTAGCCACAAAGTTAAGCATTATCTAAAAGTGAGTTGTGGCTGTAGCCATAAATAGGCACCATAGTGTTTCAGTGACACAAAATGTTTCTGTGGCTGCTAGCTCTGAACAACGATCGCCCGCAACATTGCTTCTCCTAGAAGAAGAGTGCCATGAAGAACACCGTCAAAGCGGGTCGAAAACAACAGGACCAGCCAGCCGGTCGAGTCCAAAGGTAGTAGGTTGGAAGCCATCGGTCCATGTCCATGTCATCATCTCCCAGCCCTTTCGTGTGCTTGAGGCTTCGGGCTGCCCGTCTTGAGCAGCGCGCGTCCGGAGACCTTGGAAACGACCACAATGTAAGGGACAGCAGAGACCTGTTTTTCAGCTGCCAAGACGAGAAGTTTTGCATCATTTTCATGAGAAATGCCATTAATTTATATAGCTATTATATATATATAGCTGTTTAATCTGGTGAAAGAATCTACTTAAACTTAGACACAGAAACATTGGGTTGGACTGATCATAAACAGGTATCTCTCTACTCTCTACAGTCCTGAAGACTTGTCAATTGCAGAGGCGGCAACTCTTTGAAGTAATATGTACACCTGTACACCTCAAATACATTGACATACTATAACACTGACTGGGGGCTATGTAATTGCAGCATATTACAACTATAATATACTGCCTCTATGAAGTAGAATTTGGTCTCGAATCTCCCAATGCACACTAGCACGGTGCCTTCCCCGCATACAACGAACTCGTTCGGATCGGATCGGCGGTTCTTTTGAGGACATGAGTCGACTGCTGCGTGTTACAACACATCGCCTGATGGAATCAAGGAAAATTATGTTTTATGTGAACATCCCTCAAGAAGGGTACAGTAGCTCTCAAGTCTTTGTTTGCGTATGTGTGCGGTCGAATGGCGGGGATGAAGGAAGTCTTTGGACATGACCGCCAAAAAAATGGTCTCCACGCTAAGAGCGATGTTTACCGTTTGAGGTCTTTGGGCCTTGATGTGTCTCCCACAGCGTGTTTGATGGGCGAGATATGGTGAGTTGGCTGGGATCAGGTGACTGTTGTGAACCTTAAAAGAAACTGTTTCATTCAGGCGAGCAGCGTTCAAAGCCTCCCTTTAATTTTATTGAAGTAGCACTTAAGACATCTTGTCCACTGCTCAGGTGGTCTTTGCTTGGTTTGTTGATGTGATGTGATGGACCATTTTGCCTGCACCGTTTGTTTGTCCTCTTGCAAGTGACACACATGTTTGGTGGTTGCACATCGTTTGTCCTCTTTCAGTTCAGTTCAGATGGATGTTCAGAGGGACTTGGTGATCATCACTGTTTGGGTTCCCTCCCCGTGTGGCTGTGTGTGTCAGAACCAGGATACCTTGGTTGACCTACTTGCAAGGTCAAGCCAGGTGGTCTTGGGGCTCCGGGTTTTGACCCATCCCTGGTTCATCAATCCGGAATCGATTCTTCCAACTTTGCTCGTGGATTCCAAGGCAGTTCATCGTTTGGATTCCAAGTCTATTTTTCTTGGCAGGTACAGCACAGTCAGATTTCCACCCTGGTTTGAACCTATATGTATATATATGCACGGTAGCCCGGAGGTGTCAAGCTCGAAGGTACTGGATCCCGTGGACACCGAAGAGGAATGGCGTAAGTGCGACTCGTCAGGCGGTTTTCCGTCTGCTGGATGTCTTGTACCAAAAGAACTTCGGTCGCGGCGCGACTCGATCACTACACTAGCTATCGTGGGATGATCGTCCAAGTGAACACTTGCATGCCACCCTCTTTCCAAATGTCCCTTCTTTCAACAAGCAACAACAAAACACAAGCAACCGACCACGACAAACCAAAAACCGCAAATCAAACCTCTTCGTCGTCCTTGTGGACATGTGGTGTATGTTGTGGAGGTTGGGTATGGAGAGCTGGTTGTTCTGGTGAGTCTGTCGAGACTCCTGGTTGATCCTCCAAAGGCCCTTGGCCCTTCTCCTTCCTTTTCTTTGCTGAGGACATTGTCGGATCTTCAACTATCTTCCAGGCACTGCCGAGCTGGTAGAACAAAAGAAGTTGCCTTAGTTCTTTCGCCTTAGTCAGTCCGTTTGCCAGCTGTGCCTCAGAGTGGACCCATCGGACCTTCACCTTATTTAGTGACTGTCCTTCTTTGATCCTCATAAGAGTGACATCAGTTCTTCTTTCAGCGCCCTTAGCCACTATCACTTCGTTCTTCAACTTGTCGTAAACATTGCGGCTGTCAGTAACAAGGCAACCGTCTATCTTATTGACAGTGGTGTTGGGGTCACGTATGTTCACTTCGTTTCCCATCATTTCAGAAATCTGGAACCTACAGAAATACAACAAATCTTCAGCGTTGGCTGC